CTGACCATCTCGTTGGCGGCTTTCCTGGAGTTCGTTTTATGTCCCGAGGGATCCAGTCAGTAACCGCCCTGGTCCAACGGTCATCACTATATCGCATAACGTGTCCGGCCCACCTGATCTTCGATTTCTTGGCGTAATCAACGGCATCCCTGATCTTCGTTCGGTGACGGAGCTCGGAACTCCGGATTCCCTTCTGCACTTGCGTGTATAGGGAAATTCCGAGCATCGTCCTTTCCAAAGCGCGTTGAATAACGCTGACAGCATGCTCATCCTGCTTTCGTAGAGTCCAGGTCTCCGAGGCGTACGTCAAAGCAGGAAGGACAGCAGTGTCGAAAAGGTGAGCGCGGAGCCGGATGTTCTTTGTCTTCCTCACGAAGCATCCTTATATATTGCGTAGGAACACCCTGGTTGCCCAGGGCTTCAATTACCGCTTCTGTCTCAACGGTGTCAAAGGCTTTCTTCAAGTCGATAAACGTAAGACATAGCGGCATTTTGTACTCTCGCGATACTTCAATGAGCCTTGTTAGGGTGTGGATATGATCGATTGTACTGAACCCTCTCCGAAACCCTGCTTGCTCGCATGGCTGTCCTTCATCTAATATTCTGCCAATCCTGTTTAGGATGACACGAGTGAAAAGCTTGTAGATTACGGACAGCAGGCAGATTGGGCGATAATTGCCAATATCGTCTGGATCTCCCTTCTTGTACAGCAACACAGTCTTGCTAGTTTTCCACGACGTGGGCACTTTGCATTCCGACAGGTACCGTGTGAAGAGCCTAGCCAGAGTTTTGATGATGACTGGTGGTATACTCTTCAGATGTTCTGGTTTGATCCTATCGGGGCCGGGCGCTGTACAGTTCTTCATCGACGTGATGGCATGTCGTATTTCGGAAGGGAGAACCGAAGGAGCGATATATTCGTCTTGCCTAAGATGGTGAGTAGGCAGGTAGACGTGGCTGTCGAAGAGATCCGAGTAGAAGTCGTAGATGACCTTCTCCATTGCCCTCCGGGAAGCAGTAATGGTTCCGTCAGGACGACGAAGGGAGGTCATCTTGGTCTTGTAATTGGCGAAGCTCCGTCGGGCTTTGCGAATGCTCTTTCCGGCCTCGGCGGCTTCGTCCATGACTGCTGCTCTTCTCTCTTTCAGATCTTTTTTTATCGCTTCTCTGATAGCCAATTGCCAACAGTAATTGGCTATCATATGCGCACATAAATCCATCAGCTAACAGTGGTATATGTACATCTCATCACGAATCTTCATTGCAACCAAGAATCTTTCCCCTGTGAGATGAAACTATACTTAGAATAGGTGTCACGACTTTTTGTCATGATTACGAGGAAACGCACGAATACCTGCAATACTCGACTAATTCTTCATACGAGGTCCTTAATACTGGAACTTTACATAATAAGTTTCCACATCAAAGTACAAAATGCAGCGGAACCAGTATATGAGCCGCCCATTTTTTGCGGTGTAAGGCTCCCAGTTTGTGCTAAATCGGCGGTTCCGCAGCTCGAAAGTCTCGCATCTCCGTGTCTCGCAGCCATGCGAGCGGTGGTGCTCCAGTCTCCAATCTTCTCATCCTCGGCTCTTCAACAACTCAATGTCCAAGAAGGAGAGATAAGCGTCCTCATGACAACGAACGAGAGCGGAGCGATACAAACAACTCAACGGAGGAAAGTAAGGCACAACGATTTGTCGACTGTTAGACTCTTCACCCGTCAATCTCGAAGACAAAACAATCAAGGTTGCACGATTATTTTATCTAACGTTAGTGATGAAACGAGGTTGTATTCTATGAATTGTTAACGCGATAAATATTTCGAAAAAGATCTCATCGTTCGTATATTCCACCACCAAACGCTCGAAAAAACAGATATGAGAAGTAGCGTCCTCTTCGGGCTTGACGAAGACGTCATCCAATGTTGCCCTTAGTTAAGCAAAGATTTCATCCAGGCGAACTCGAACGCAACGCTTTCGAGCAAGTCACGGTCCTTGGGATGATCTCTTCCTGATAATGTTCACGTTAACATGGACAGGGTTAACGTTAACCGTTAACGTTAACAGGCACCTCCGATAGTAAGGAAATGGGATTACAAAGAAGTCTAGTATCATTATAGATGTTCATGAGTTGCTGAATCACGATGCTCAGTTATCGTAGAGCAGTCTCTGAACTGCTCTCAATCACGCTCAAAACGTTTTTTCGGGTGTCAGCGTATTCCGATGCGGGGAGATCTACTGTTCGTACGGAGTACGGAATTCAAACAACACAGGAATCCTAAACATTTGCTCAAAATGGGCTCAGAGGCTTCAAGGAGAAAGGTTCCAGATGATTCATCGGGTCAAACGTTCTTCTACATGTTACCACCAAATCTTCTGACCGAAGGTGACGTCATCATACTTGATGGAGGACCTTCGTTCTTGCAGCATAACGTGGGCACCTCCTAGGAAGAGACGACAGTGAAGAGGTTTTGAACCGTACTTCTCGATGCTTTGAAAAGAAGCCCATTATTTTTTGTTAGGAAGTCGAGTCCGTGAAAGGCGATCGCAATGATCCTCTGCGGTCGCTTGATGATGACAGCGACGATGGACCCGTAAATTAGCGAAAAAACCCTCGTGCCTCCGGAGGGCTATAGAGGTTCCGAAGTGAAACGTAGCCTTCAAGTTTGTGATATAGCCCATGAGCTCCCATTTTATGGCGCTGGTAGAAGAGTCCACGGCCTCCTATAGCTCGAGTTTCAAAAGAAGCCGCACATTCTCAAGCATGAGCATTATCACGACAGAGTGCCATCTTCGAAAATCAAGAAGGCATGAGCTTTCAAATTAGCCTATTATTGACAAATTACGATGTCTTATGTGGTCGCAACCGTCAGGTTCAAAACAAGCGAACCGATCTGCCTACTTGTGGGAATTAGCGGATAAGTAGGGAGGATATGGTATCATAAAATCAATAAGAGTTCCACTGCACGACAGTCGCTTCCACTTGATACCGCTTCAAATCAACGGTGGAGGATGATAGAGGACAACATCAAAACAAGTCATTGGTGGAGTCGGGGTTTTGAGTACAGCCTCGGTAACATGCCTCACCACATCACCACATATACCTCATGAAAGAGCCCGATGAGGGGGCATCTACATCGAGAATAGAATTAGCGGATGATCATATGCGCACAAAAAGCGATGAACTATTTTTCTTCAGTATTTCTTCAACAATGTCAGTCAACTTTACTACGACTTTGTATAGCGCGGACAGTATTCCTAGATTATGTGAACCGTAACCTTCACAGAGAGAAGTCGGATGAGTCACTTGACCGCCGTCTCCCGTAAGTGCAGGGAGCTACCAAAAATTTCGAAAAACTATCTTGACTTTCGTATTAATTTTCACGTTCGGTCTTCTTGAAAGCTGGGCATATCCCATAATGTTTCACGATGCTTTGCTGTACAGGTTTGTAATGAAACTGTTTATTAGGCCGACGTATCGAACAACTCGTCGTCTTCAAGGACCTGAAAGTAGTTGGGAGCTTCTGGTCTGTGACTTACCTGACCAAGCGCCCAAACGCACTGGCCAGTTGCAACTACTCCCAGAAACACAAACACCGAAACATCCGTGCTAAGGAACCAACCTCCTGAGGTTCCACCAGCGTTGCCGTTCCACTCGATTTCGTGAACAAAAAGGGAACAATGAGACACCATTGACGGTTGTGAGATGAAAATTACGCGGTGATCTCGAAGCTCACGAAAGGAAATGAGTGGCAGAAGTTCACTCGTTATGGCAACGCACACATTTCGGTTGTTCAGACTAGGATTCTACTTTCGGATGTAGAATGCTTCCAATATCTTTCTAGCACCGATCTCATTCTTGTAGGCTAGGATTTTGCATTTAATATCGAAATCTTTGCCTTGATGCTCTTCTAATCGATGCTTGCCGAGTAGGCTTCCTCGCCTTTTACATATCTGCTAGATATTCTTTAACGCGTATGCCCTGCATCCTTCCCGTTTTACCAACATATATTCCGTCATAGGCTGAACACTAAAGTTGGTATACCGTGCCTCGGTGTGTGCAATCTCCACTCCTTCCGAACGGACAAACAACGCAGTTATCTGTCGCGCATGCACGATCACAGAGACTGTTGCGGATCAAAAGACGTTCGATATTGTCTGATGGTATATTTGTCAAGACAACATCACTAGCCAAATCCGCTGGTGCAATGCAGTGCCGTATTTCTGCGCTGACTTTGTCTGATATGAACGGAAGACTGAGATGCACCATGTTCTCATGATTTCTCTACGAGTACCCTTTCGAGCCTGACTTCCTCTGCTTTGTCCCGTAGCCATTCAGGTTTGCAATCCCAGATGCTAGCTTATGTGACTGCTCCCGTTCCACTTTGCCTGTACACGTTCCTGTAGCTGTTCTGTACATGTTTCAAACTACTGCACGTTTCACGGGTTGGGAATGAGCAGACTTTGAATGGAGCAGGAGTTCTTCGAGCTGCCTTTCCGATAACATTCCACGTTGTACCTTCCACTTGAGGTGTTTATCTGCGTGTTCAAATAAGGAAGCCAACCTTCGTGCGAAACTTCTCTCGTGAACCTGATATGCTGTGACTGTCGGTGAAGGATGTCAAACAAAACATCCATCTCTTGCTGCGTTGATGTTATTACGCAGCAGTCATCGATGAATCGACAGTACATAATGGGTATGCGCGCTATAACTGGCCTTTCTATCCTGCTCATGAAGCAGATAGCTAAGGCCAGTGCTAACCGCTGACCCATAGTAAGTCCACGATTTTAAGAGAATACTGCCCACTCCACTTAAAAATATTACAGCTAAGGCATTTCTTGATCAGAGTCATAATGTGAACCTTACTCAATCCGAACGTAACAATATCCGTCTCATGCTCGTCCAGCATTCCAGAAACTTGGAGAGCTTCATCGTTGTTTACCTTCGTATAAAGCGCAGTTACATCAGACGACTCTGCAACACGATTTTCTTGAAGCCTACACGAACGCAAGCGATCAAGAAATTTGTTAGTGTTTGGCAGGTGTGATGGTACGTATCGGAGTAGTTGGCCAACAATTTTGTTAAGGAACCACGAAATGTGTACAGTCCGCTGGCCTACCTACACAGCTGATGATGGGTCTTATTTTGTAATCGCTCGCATTAACTGAGTTTTCACCTCCGTTGGACAACTTATGAGTCTTGATCAGGCTATAGAAAGCGGGGACGAGGGTGTATCCAACATCAATCTGCTAATCAACCTTCTATCCAATTTTGCCATCTTTTCGATTGATACCCATAACGCATTCAGCCTGTGACATTGTGTGAGGAACGTTTTTCCCGTGGAGTGACCGTAGACAGAGATATCACCAAGGTGGATCTCTGTGATTTTCCGATCCAGCGAACGATGAAAAACCACAAAATCTCCTAACTTGTCACTCACGGAAAGACGGATTTCACCTTCTGCTACGCGTTTCTGTATCTCTCGCAATCCTTCCCACTGTGCGTTCGTCATGTTCGGGAACCTTCCGCGCCCATGTCTTCTGAAAATTTCAAATACTCCTGATCAAAGCACTCGAAATTTGATGACTTGTATGGGGGAAGGTTCTGGTTCTTTATAGAACGAACATGGGAATGGAATAGGCGACAGCATAGATTCTGTGCTAGCGCGCTGAGGCTCTTTGCTCATTGCACTCCTTCTAAGCTGATCTCTCAGTCGATGAAGCCCTGTTACCACCTGACGACACGTGGAAGGTCTAATCCCTTGAGCAATTGAAAATGATGGCCCAAGTTTGAGGAAATTCACAGCCTTCTCCGATAGAGGTGTGCTGCCAATAACTGAGATTTTTGCCTGATTTAGCGCATTGTTCACTCCTTGAGCTGTCATTGCTTCGTACTGGTGGTCCGTAGAAGAGTCGGTCCTTATGTCGCGTAGTTTTTATCTCACAATCGTCAATGGTGTCTCATTGTTCCCTTGTTGTTCTCGAAATCGAGTAGAACGACAACGCTGGTGCAACCTCAGGAGGTTGGTTCCTTAGCACGGATGTTTCGGTGTTTGAGTTTCTGGGAGTAGTTGCAACTGGCCTAGTGCGTTTGGGCGGTAAGTAGAGGTAAGTCACAGACTAGAAGCTACGAACTACTTTCAGGTCCTTGAAAACGACGAGTTAGTCGAAACGCCAGCCTGATAAATGGTTCCATCATAACAAACCTGTACGACAAAGCATTGTGAAATTTTATTTTGGCTCTTCGGGGTAGGGAGGCGTATATACGGTCAAGAGTGTTAAAATTTTTTTTCATCAAATTACTATTTCCCAGAATCTTAGATTGTGAGAGATCTCCGCAGTTGCCCAATGTTAAACCCAAAAGCGTTTTGCAAGTGTTTAGGACGCACTTTATAGGAAAAAACGAGAACATGCATCAAGGAATCAAACATTGATTTTATGCCCACCAATCCACCGTTCTAAAAGCTACGCCACCGTTGCGCAGTAACGAATTTGTTTGGCTCGGTGATCCGTTCGTTACTGCGATATGATACAGGGAGGCATCGGTCCCGTAACTTTGTTCCCAGAATCGTTCAGCTGATTCGAAACCCAGATTTGAGATTAGACTCGAAACCACCTACGGTGGTTTACATCTCATCTTGAATGGCCACTGCGAGTATCCCTTGTGAGTTGCGCAGACGACAAAGCAGTCGTCTACATAGCGGCAATAGAGCAGGCAGACGATCTATAACGGGCCTTTCTATTTTTGACATGCAGACAATGGCTAGCACTGGTGCCGACCGCTGGCTCGAGGCTAGTCTCCTGACGTGCGTGAAGCACTGCCCGGATCCCCTGAATTTGGAGCAGTCAAGGCATTCCTTGACCCAATTCATAATTCGGGAGATAAAGAGGGCATCCATATTTATACACCCCGCATGTTTATTCAAAACTCGATGCATCTGCATGGCGTCCCCGTCTGACACATTTGTGTAGAGAGAGGTCCACCGAATGATTCTATAACGTGATTTTTATTGAAACGAGTCTCTCGCAATGGTCGAGGAACCTCCTGGTGTTAATGAGGTGGGCGGGGACAAGTATTGATAATTAAGTCAACATGAGGTTCTGCAGCCATGATATCCTATCGGTAGGACCTTCCAGAGCCCACGTACTTGCGAGCTCTGCGGGGACGAATACATAGGTGAGACCGGGCGGCTTTCAATATACAGGATCAAGGAGCATCTAGCTGGTATTAAAAAGTGAAAGCCTGAAAGCCCCTCGGAGACCACCGTAGGCAATGCCACGAAAACGTAAAATTTGAAGCGCCAATCAGAATTTTGATGGCAAAACCTTGGAAGCGTTCTGGATCTGTGCAAAAGACCCCAAAATCAACCGGAAACTGGCAATAACATATGAACTCTCCCCGTTTCTCGACCTGTGTGGGCGGTCGTGTCCTCTGGAGACCATCCAATGCAGAAAAGTTTCTCTGGCTGAATCGGTCAATAGTTCAAAGCAGATGCTCCGATCTCTAACCTTACAGCAAGTGAACATAACGTTACACTTTTGTTCCTTCATTCTTCTGAAATAGATAAGCTATTTGTCCGTGAGCAATATGAGGATGCAGGGA